GATCATCTCACTTCGTCTGTCTCGGATGAAAAATATAAACGGATGATCAGCCCTGAAGACATGCTTCTCCTGTATCACCAACCCATCCACACAGTCCATCATGGTGCATGCTGCTGCCTCTGTACCCTCCTCATTGACCTCCACAAAGGTCTTGTGGACGACCCTGGACAAGGTCAACAGCCCTGATGGATCAATCCCAGAAAAGTTGGCCTCCACGGGGTCAAAAGCAGTACACATCCCTAACATGGACAGGACATCAGCAAGCTCAAAACTGGACTCCATCTTAAACCTTGGAAGTGACACATCAACCTCATTCCATGAATTACCAGTGAACTGGACCTGGAGATGATGAGGCTTGAGGTTCTGTTCCAGGGAACTTAAACCATTTGATTTTCTGGGAAGGAGGATCACCATGCTGAGTCTGTCCCCTACATAGGGTAGTTCCAGTGCCGTGCAGTCCAAGTCTTTAATCTCACTGTACCCAAACGTGTCCACAGTGTTCATCATATCAACCGCGACCTTCTTTGAAGAGGAGACTGTGAAAGAGCCCTTTTCAGTTAAGCCCTTATCAAAAACATTTTCCCATTTTCCTTTAAAATAGATGGCATTTACTAAAATCATTGATGTGTCTTTAGTGAGAGAAAGCGGTGAGATGACACCTTGGATCCTATCGTGGGTCTGTTTGGCCACCCAGGCATTGATCCTGGCACACTCTGATTCTGGGTTTCCGATGAAGTCACATGAGTCAGTCTCAGCTCCAAAATGCTGTGCCACCTTTTTGGAAAACTCCGAGCACAGTTGCTTGTCCTTTCTCACATATAATTTATTAGCTGAAGCTAAATCACAGCCCTCTGCTTTGCTGCTCATAACTGCCAGGTACTCCTGAAAAGCGATGTGGATGGTTTCTGATATTTCCGTCAGTCTTAAGGCCTGCAACATCTCTGAGGCTGTAGTTCCTCGGGCACCTATGTATGCCATGGCCATGACAGACAGGACACTGTAGGGGGACAGGAACAGATTCTGGTCAGACATGGAACTGGACAGTGCTCTGTAGAGGTCAATGCTGAACTTGGCATCGGCTGCAGCAAGCTGGGACACCTTGCTGCACGACATCTTCCCACCACCTCTACAAAAACAAATAACTTTTGGTAAGGATACAAAAAATGGAACCTTGTTCCCCAATGTTTATTTATTCTTTAACGCCATGCCCAGCAATATTCCAGCTGTATTGTGGCGGTCTGTAAATAGTGGAGTTTGGACTAGAAAATCCAGTGATGAACATCATAAGCATTGATCTACACAGTTGGGATACAACAGCATATGTCAACCAAGTCAGCGAACCTGACCACCTCATCCCGTTAGTCCAGGCAAGTGATTTGCTCATAATTGCCTCTGTTCACCCAGCAGTGAATGGGTACCTGGTGGGATAAGAAGTCATGTGACTGCTAACGTTCTAGCTATATGTGTTTGCACCCTGAGCATGCACAAGTGTTTGGATACAGGCACTTCATAAATGTCCATTGTGATTAAATGCTGAAAGTGTGGATTAGTAGTCGTGTAAATATGGCCACATGAGTCAAAATAAGATGTCGTCCTGTACTAATTCATGTGTGCTATGAAAGCTAGAAGTGTTGCTTTGTGGTGGTACCAGAATGGTATCATGGCGTAATAATTAAAAATGAATTTTTCTATGAATTATTTCTCCATGATAATTCATGGAAAAATTCATTATTAATTATTACCATTACAAGCAATATATTAGGATCCATATACAGTCGAGCACCGTTGTGTCAAACTCTGATTACTTCGATATCTCGGTCATCTTGATATTACATCTTGGTCCCGGCAAAATCCTTCATAATTTATCATTATTCAAGCTCCTTTAACTCGATACGGATGTCTCGATATTTCGGATATCTCGATATAATTTCATGGTCCCAACAAGCAAAATTACCCTTTTAACTCAATATGTGCAAAGAAACTTGATATTCACCTTCCTTTCATGGGCAAGTATCTCTCTGAACTGAGGTTGTTTCCACATGTTTACACACGGTGCGGCATGAATCAAAGGGATGCGGTAGTGTAAACTAATTAGGGCTAATTGAGTTGAAGGTGTCACTTGTTTGTTATTCAATTAGGATTAATTAAGAAGGAATTAATTAGGATTGCTCACTGTTACGACTAAACACTACTGATAACGGATTATAGTTTCGAATCAAAACATACTGAGAAGTGTTTTGTTTTCTTTCATAGTGATAAGTGATGATATGCCCTGGTCGAATGTCTCGAAGTTCGGATAACTCGATATTTGTTCTTGGACCCATGAACATCGAAGCAACAGTGCTTGACTGTATTAGGAAAATATAAGTATAAAATATAAATTTGTAGTGGTAATAATTAATAATGATAATGATGTTCACATAAGAGCTCCTGCACCCATGAAGGTCCGGCTTAGAACTGGTCTTCAGCAACCCATGCTTGTCGTAAGGCAACCAACGGGACTTGGTTGAGATGTCATCATATCCCAATTGCATAGATCTATGCTCATGCTGTTGATCACTGGATTGTCTGGTCCAGACACGATTATTTACAGACCACCGCAATGTAGCCGGAATATTGCTGAGAGCGTGTTTAAACAACAACCAACAACACAAGAGCTCCCCTTACACAACCCCATTGTCAAAATCTGTGTGTTCTGTATTTTGCGGGGTTATTAAAAGATTTTAATTTCACTTTTAAACTAGATTACAAATCTGTGTCAAATAGATATTTAAATATATAGATTGCTGTAGAATGTCTTTTGTCAGTCTGATCACTGATGTAGTTTGGATGTGCATTTGTGTGTTTCGTCCGCTAGGATGGGTCAAGTTAAGGATATTGTTCAACAGTCATAAAATCAAACTTTCAGAGTAACTATCCCAGAGTAAAATGCCTAAATGATCAGAAATTTTGCTTGTGATTATTGTGGGAAGAATTCCCAGGATGGAGGAAGTAGTCTCTCAGTGTTTATGTCATTACACCGGTGAAGGTCCGGGTTAGAATTGGTCTTCAGTAACCCATGCTTGTGGTAAGAGGCGACTAACGGGATCAGGTGGTCAGCAGAGGTACAGCTAAGCTGCGTATCTGCGTAAATTATGCAAATATTTATGTGAAACTCATTTCCTATTAAGTCTATTGTGTACAAGTACGCTTAAATTTTTGTAAATACTCAATAAAAACACACAAAAATGTCAAATCTTAGCTTGCGTACCGGGGGTTAGATAAAATAACTGAGGTATACTGTGAGGTTCTATTTCAGGACATGAACTTGACAACTTACAGTTTCTCATAATACAGATAAAACATAAATAACAAACACTAACATTTTAACTTTATTATATTTTGAAATTAATGGAAAATGGCAAAGTACCCAATTGAGTTTGAGTGAGGTGAGTACAATTTATTTGGTTACAGAAAGGAAAATTAGGGTACCCAATTGAGAGTACATAACTCAATGACCCCAAAAGTTATCTGTAGCTCTGGGTCAGGCTCACTGACTTGGTTGACATGTCATTGTATCCCAATAGATTGATGCTCATGATGTCAATCACTGGATTATCTGCTCCAGATTCGATTATTTACAGACCGCCATCATATAGCTGGAGTATTGCTGAGTGCGCCATTAAACAACAAACAAAAGAAAAATTTCAAATATACAATCTCATGAAAAACATGCAAATATCAAAAGATGGTTAAAAATGTCCATGTAGGCTAAGAGCATTGACCAATACCCCGCACCCTCACAGATTCGAAATCACTTCCCCTTCCCCGTGCTGAGATACATCCACATCATGTTACTAAGACAACCTTTCACACCTGTATATCATATGTTACCTGTCTCCCGATGAGTCCTTTGATGTGCTCATCATTATATACTGACCAGCAAAAGAAACGCAATTCAAGAAATCAAAGCAATTGTATTAAAGTATCAAATCCAAACTCATGCTGAAAAAGTATAATTTTCATAAATTCTGAGTTGCGTATTTATTGCTGGTCAGTATACTTAAATTTGTGGGGGAGCGAGCAGTGGTGTAGCCAAGTGGTTAAAATGTTTGGTTGTTACGCCAAAGACCCAGGTTCGATTCCCCACATGGGTATAAAGTGTGAAGCCCATTTCTTCTGTTCCCTGAAATATTTGCTGGAATATTGCTAAAAGCGACATGACACTAAACTCACTCACTCACTAAATTTCTTATCTGTCCACATGTATTTTGCAATACGCGAAGGGGAGGTGGTATTGGGTTTGTTGTCACATTTCAGATTACTGCACTTCTGTGACAAGCATGAATGTGTGTGGCCACATGAACTAGTCTGGACTAATGCCGCTTTTTTATGGTGCAAGCTCATATCAGAAGCCAAAATTTAACAATCATACCTCACTTACAGTGAGTGGGTGAGTGAGTTTAGTTTTACGCCGCTTTTAGCAATATTCCAACAATATCAAAGCAAGGGACACCAGAAATAAGCTTCACACACTGTACCCATGTGGGGAATTGAACCTCGGTCTTCGGCGTGACGAGCGTTGCGAACGCTTTACCACTAGGTTACCCTCCCCAACCTCACTCACAACACTGAGCTGATGAGTTTTAGTCCTACATCCCTAATGCTTGGTGGAAGGCAGGGAAACAACAAGTTCTAGGATCAAACCTATGACATGTCGCTACCAAGGCAAACACTCCATCCACTAGACTCCACGACCACTCACAGAGGAATGACTCTTGCCTACAGGTGAGAAGTTTTTAACCCTGACAGGGACTGGGATAGAGAACTTTGACAATGGGCCATTTTCAGGATTATTAGCCATTTTCGGAATTTAGAATTGGCCACTGCCCTTGTATCAATAGTAAACTTCAAAATTTTAATGGGCCATTTTGTATTCTAATGAGCAAAATGGCCCATGGCCCCTGCCTTTCCCAGTCCCTGAATTCCTGTTATACTAAGAAAGAAATGTATTCAAAATATAGTGTATCACAGCTATTTATTGACATGATTAAAGCAATACATGTTTTATGACAGTCTTATTTTATGCATTATATGAAAATATGTGCCATCTCTACACACGTCAATTTTTCAGAACATATTTAGAATATATTTAACCTTGAGAATATACTGTATAACCACCATAGACACATAAAGCCGAAGCAAATCTGTAACGGTCAGCCACTGTGAAAACATTTAATGGAAAGTTAATATCTAAAAATATTCAGGACATGAGTTTAAAAGTCCTAAGGATTGTTCATGTTTCCATGAATGTGAAAAATGCAGTGAAAAAGTGGATTTCTTTTATAAACAATACTAAAGCATGGAACAAGGGGCCATTATTGTCCCACATTTGTGAAATCAAAGGCAGATCAATCTATACTAAGGTTAAAACAGAACCACTAAAAAATAGAAAATAAACTAGTCTACTTTGGTAACTGAGAGAAGTTTATGGATACTTTCAATCAAACAACGTACTGCTATTAAATATCATAATATAATGCATTTAATTGATGGAGATGGTCACAATAACAGTAACATTGCTCTGAAACAGAATCATATCAACAGCTCTACAGTTCAGTTTTCTGTGAAACACCAGCTGAGCCTGCTGTGGGAGGACGAACAAGTCTGCCCATGAAGAGCACAACATCGGCTCGGTTGTCACGGATGAGGAACAGGAAGGGATGATCTGCCTTGAAAGGCTCAATTATAGGGAGCGATCTTGTCATGATCCTAACTGCTGTGGCTGCAGCAGCTTCACTTCCCTCCTCGTTCACTTCCAGGAAGGCCTTGTGGACCACCTGGGAGATGTACAGGAGCCGGGTTCCATCAATTCCGGACAGATCGGCTTTCTGCTCATCAAAAGCATCAGACATTCCCAGCGACTTCAGGACTTCATTCAGCTCAAAGCTTGATTCCAGCACAAATCTGGGCATAGAGATGTCAACAGTAGTTTTGTGAACACGTTTTAAGGCTTCCGTCAAAGATTCATGATTCAGTTTGCTTTCCAGTTCTCCCAAACCATCATCTTTGTCAGGCAACAAGAAGAACATGCTAAGGTCCTCCTTTACATAAGGCAGTTCCAACACAGAACAGTTCAGTTCATCATTTAGGCCAAACTTGAACTTCTTCTTCATCCGCATCATATCAACTTGTACGGTCTCTCCAGGCTTCACCTTAAATGTGCCCTTCTCTGTCCTTGTCGGATCGAATTTCTCTGCCCAGTTGCCTTTGAAGTATATGGCATTAACAAGGATCATAGCTGTCAGTGGATCGATTCCACCTGTGATCAGATCCTTTATCTTGCTGTTGGTCTCCGATTCCACCCATTGGTTGATCTTCTCCGCCTCTCCAGCTCCATTGCCCACAAAGTCAGACAGAACAGCCTGAGCACCATAATGCTTCTCTGTCTTCTGTAGAAATTCATCCAGAATCTTGGCCTTATCATTCACAAACAAGCGGTTGGCTGTTGTAAGTATCGTAGTCTCCCTGTGTGTTTTCAGAAGACGCAGATAGTCTTCAAACCCTGGATGTACGGAGTCCTGGATGTCAGTCCACTTCAGGACCTGGTTCATCTGAGCTGCTGTGTCACCTCGAGCTCCCAGCTGGGTCATGGCCAGAGCTGCCGAGATGCTGAAGGGAGACAGAAACACATTGGAGTCCTTCAGGTCTAAGGCGACTTTCTTGTACAGGTCCAGACCAAACTGGGAATTGGCAGAAGCGACCTTCTTCACCAGGTCTGGGGTCTTCAGTCCAGTTCCACTTCCAGCCATGGTTCTGTAGAAGAAATCACACAAGACAAGTAATGTTCTGGTAACTTGAAAAGACAACAATTGTCTGATCAACATATTCTTCAGTTCTTTTACAGATGAATGTCAGTTCATTTGAAGCAGAATTGGACAGCAAAGGATCAAGGCCTAACAAGCAAAGCTGAAGTCCATACTGTGACAGATCTTCTCAGTAAAGATGATTCTTCAGGATGTTTAGGAACTGGAAGGGGAAAATGGGGAGTATTTGAGCAAAATCATACAGAAAGAGATGATAGAGAGGTATGAACCAAATCTACGATTGATAATTCAGTTAAGACACTGCAGGTTTTCAAAGGCATGCTTACTAATAATTGGGCAGTTACATGTCATTTTTGTTTCCTTTTTTTCCCATTTCTTAGACATAGATAAGAACATGACTATACCTGGGCATGTTAGTGGTGCTGGGTATTGTTTGGTAGCACTCACAATCAGTTAAGATGGATCAAGAGTACGGAAAAGGAGAAGCAACAGTAGAAAATCCTTATCATTCTGTTTTTGTAGAAAACAAAATAAAATAGCTGAGCTATGAAAGTAGACTCAGCTAAAACCTTTTACACAAACATATATCCTCATGGTACTAAAATCTATTTTGCTTTTAGCTTCCCATTTGTGACATATCCATCCCCCAAATTCACTGTCAGAACCAAGGGATGGGGGATTTCCCGGAAGTGCCCTTTTCAGATACTACTAATATTTATCTGATATACTGTCCTTGTACTTCCATTCTCTTTCTCAAAATTCTGCATCCACTTCTGATATTTAAGATATTAATCAACTACCTGCGTAATCTAACTGAATTCAGCGCTCCAGATACGCTCCAGCGCTCCAGGGGACAGTGGGGTAGCCTAGTGGGTAAAGCTTCCACTCATCATGCCGAGGGCCAGGGTTCGATTCCCCACATGGGTAATTTGTGTGAAGCCCATTTCTGGTGTCCCCCGCCATGATAATGCTGGAAACCAACTCACTTACTCATTCACTTACTCAAGGAATATCAGTGCAGTGAGTGAATGAGTGGATTTAAGTGAGTTTGAGTGAGTGAGTGTGATTGTGAGTGAGTTGGGTTTTTTATGCCATTTTTAACAATTTTCCGACAATATCACAGAGACATCAGACACGGGCTTCGCACGTTTTACCCATGAAAAGACTCAAACACTTTAAGCACAAGACTACCCAACTGACCTTGATGGCATTCCAGTACACTCTCTTGTTGTTCATCTACTCACAAAATTCAGATAAATCACATCAATAGCATAACTTACGTAAAACATCGAGTCAAATGTGGATTTCAGAAAATGAACATTGATTAATGTCAGCCGAGATTATTATCATGATTATCTCCAGACATCTTGCTCATGGAACATAATAGAATCTGGGATAGGCAAACCACTGACTGAAGCATGACCCAACAACACCCAACCCAGCAACACGGACACCCAATTCTCTTCAGTCAACTTTAGGTCAAGCCGAGGTTACCTCCAAGTTTTTCTTCTCAAGCATCTTTGAAAATCCTAACAAACAGTTAAACCCGTGATAGAGTAAAACAAAATAATCATCACCTTTCAGTAAAGATGACTTTGTGAATATGCATTGAAAGATGCACTTTTAATCTCGAATAAATTTATTTTCCATTGAACCATACGTGAAGCAAATATACAGTTTTCTGTTGATATACATCTGTAGGGTTGTCATTATGTGGTAGCACATTGACCTGTGTAAAGTGCATACTTCACAGATCAGGTGAATCAAGTTGCATTAGAGAAGTTGTTGGATCAATGACCACATTCGGCAGTTTGACTCCTGACATTTTCTGGTGTTCAGTCCCTCCCACACTGAAGCACATGTAACACATGTGGTGGCTTCTAAGGCAAGTGGGTTTAATCAAAATAATCCTCTGTTCATTCTCACACAGGGGCGGTGGGATAGCCTAGTGGTTAAACCATTGGCTTGTCATGCCGAAGACCCTGGTTTGATTCCCCACATTACATTTGGTCCTCAACAACGGATATGGTGCTTAACATTACATATGTCCTCAACAATGGATATGGTCCTTAAATTTACATATGGCCCTCAACAACGGATATGGTCTCTAACTATGGATATGGTCCTCAATGTCGGATATGGTGTTACACGTAAAGAATACCAATAACCATCAGTATCTACATCCCTACTGAACTCTTATACCTTCATCTAGGGAAACAATAACAATATACTAGCCTACTTCCGGAAACTGTCAGCAGCTCTTTGAATAGTTTCAGTCAAACAATCTACTTAATTAATGTTGATCTAATTCAGAATCATATCAACAGCTCTACAGTTCAGTTTTCTGTGAAACACCAGCTGAGCCTGCTGTGGGAGGACGAACAAGTCTGCCCATGAAGAGCACAACATCGGCTCGGTTGTCACGGATGAGGAACAGGAAGGGATGATCTGCCTTGAAAGGCTCAGAGATAGGGAGGGATAAAAACATGAATGTAACTGCTGTGGCTGCAGCAGCTTCACTTCCCTCCTCGTTCACTTCCAGGAAGGCCTTGTGGACCACCTTAGAGACATACAGGAGGCGACTTCCATCAATTCCGGACAGATCAGCTTTCTGCTCGTCAAAAGCATCAGACATTCCCAGCGACTTCAGGACTTCATTCATCTCAAAGCTTGATTCCAATACAAATCTGGGCATAGAGATGTCAACAGTAGTTTTGTGAACAACGCGTTTTAAGGCTTCCGTCAAAGATACATGATTCAGTTTGCTTTCCAGTTCTCCCAAACCATCATCCTTGTAAGGCAACAAGAAGAACATGCTAAGGTCCTCCTTTACATAAGGCAGTTCCAACACAGAACAGTTCAGTTCATCATTTAGGCCAAACCTGAACTTCTTCTCCATCCGCATCATATCAACTTGTACCGTCTCTCCAGGCTTCACCTTAAACATGCCCTTCTCTGTCCTTGTCGGATCGAATTTCTCTGCCCAGTTGCCTTTGAAGTATATGGCATTAACAAGGATCATAGCTGTCAGTGGATCGATTCCACCTGTGATCAGATCCTTTATCTTGCTGTTGGTCTCCGATTCCACCCATTGGTTGATCTTCTCCGCCTCTCCAGCTCCATTGCCCACAAAGTCAGACAGAACAGCCTGAGCACCATAATGCTTCTCTGTCTTCTGTAGAAATTCATCCAGAATCTTGGCCTTATCATTCACAAACAAGCGGTTGGCTGTTGTAAGTACGTAGTCTCCCTGTGTTTTCAGAAGACGCAGATAGTCTTCAAACCCTGGATGTACGGAGTCCTGGATGTCAGTCCACTTCAGGACCTGGTTCATCTGAGCTGCTGTGTCACCTCGAGCTCCCAGCTGGGTCATGGCCAGAGCTGCCGAGATGCTGAAGGGAGACAGAAACACATTGGAGTCCTTCAGTTCTAAGGCGACCTTCTTGTACAGGTCCAGACCAAACTGGGAATTGGCAGAAGCGACCTTCTTCACCAGGTCTGGGGTCTTCAGTCCAGTTCCACTTCCAGCCATGGTTCTGTAGAAGAAATCACACAAGACAAGTAATGTTCTGGTAACTTGAAAAGACAACAATTGTCTGATCAACATATTCTTCAGTTCTTTTACAGATGAATGTGAGTGAGTTCATTTGAAGCTGAATTGGACAGCAAAGGATCAAGGCCTAACAAGCAAAGCTGAAGTCCATACTGTGACAGATCTTCTCAGTAAAGATGATTCTTCAGGATGTTTAGGAACTGGAAGGGGAAAATGGGGAGTATTTGAGAAAAGTCATACAGAAAGAGATGATAGAGAGGTATGAACCAAATCTACGATTGATAATTCAGTTAAGACACAGCAAGTTTTCGAAGGCATGCTTACTAATAATTGGGCAGTTACATGTCATTTTTGTTTCCTGTTTTTCCCATTTCTTGGACATAGATAAGAACATGACTATACCTGGACATGTTAGTGGTGCTGGGTATTGTTTAGTAGCACTCACAATCAGTTAAGATGGATCAAGAGTTTGGACAAGGAGAAGCAACAGTAGAAAATCCTTATCATTCTGTTTTTGTAGAAAACAAAATAAAATAGCTGAGCTATGAAAGTAGACTCAGCTAAAACCTTTTACACAAACATATATCCTTATGGTACTAAAATCTATTTTGCTTTTAGCTTCCCATTTGTGACATATCCATCCCCCAAATTCACTGTCAGAACCAAGGGATGGGGGATTTCCCGGAAGTGCCCTTTTCAGATACTACCAGTGATTTTGATAATATCTATCTGATATACTGTCCTTGTACTTCCATTCTCTTTCTCAAAATTCTGCATCCACTTCTGATATTTAAGATATTAATCAACTACTTGTGTAATCTTACTGAATTCAGTGCTCCAGATACGCTCCAGCGCTCCAGGGGACAGTGGGGTAGCCTAGTGGGTAAAGCTTCCACTCATCATGCCGAGGGCCAGGGTTCGATTCCCCACATGGGTAATTTGTGTGAAGCCCATTTCTGGTGTCCCCCGCCATGATATTGCTGGAAACCAACTCACTTACTCAAGGAATATCAGTGCAGTGAGTGAGTGAGTGAATTTAAGTGAGTTTGAGTGAGTGAGTGTGATTGTGAGTGAGTTGGGTTTTTTATTACACTTTTAACAATTTTCCGACAATATCACAGGGACATCAGACGCAGGCTTCGCACATTTTACCCATGAGAAGACTCAAACACTTTAACCACAAGACTACCCAACTGACCTTGATGACATTCCAGTACACTTTCTTGTTGTTCATCTATTCACAAAATTCAGATAAATTACATCAATAGCATAACTTACGAAAACCTCAAATGTGGATTTCAGAAAATGAACATTGATTAATGTCAGCCGAGATTATTATCATGATTATCTCCAGACATCTTGCTCATGGAACATAATAGAATCTGGGATAGGCAAACCACTGACTGAAGCATGACCCAACAACACTGAACCCAGCAACACGGACACCCAATTCACTTCAGTCAACTTTAGGTCAAGCCGAGGTTACCTCCAAGTTTTTCTTCTCAAGCATCTTTGAAAATCCTAACAAACAGTTAAACCCGTGATAGAGTAAAACAAAATAATCATCACCTTTCAGTAAAGATGACTTTGTGAATATGCATTGAAAGATGCACTTTTAATCTCAGAATAAATTTATTTTCCATTGAACCATGTGTGAAGCAAATATACAGTTTTCTGTTGATATACATCTGTAGGGTTGTCATTATGTGGTAGCACATTGACCTGTGTAAAGTGCATACTTCACAGATTATGTGAATCAAGTTGCATTAGAAGAGTTATGGATCAATGACCACAGTCGGCAGTTTGACTCCTGACATTTACCCGGGTGTTCAGTCCCTCCCCACACTGAAGCACATGTAACACATGTGGTGGCTTCTAAGGCAAGTGGGGGCAGTGGGGTAGCCTAATGGTTAAAGGTCACATGCAACCAAAAAATCAAACATAATTAAAACACAATTATCACTTATTCATGACATATAATATACATTGCTGGTTACGAAAAAATATATAAACAAAATTATAAGCGTACAATCGCAAATCGAAAGTGCAAAATTGTGTACTTCGGTTTACTTCCCAAGAAACGAAGCAGCCGGGATACCGAACCCAGTCAGAGCGGGTGGGTGTGCACTCAAGTGTAACGGCCGGTTCATTTGCAGATGCCTTCACGGCTAATTGTGTGTATATATATAGAGAGATGTTGGGTTTTGTAAATACATGCTCATTTTTTGTGTATAACATTTTGCAATCAACAGACATCATAACATGTCATGTGTTCAAGTATCACACCTGCCTGTCTGTGTAATTACATAATGTGACAGAGACCGAACTCGGGCCATAAATCAATGCATTTTGTTTTGTCTGTGACAACGACATATCTATATCACAGTTAGAAATTCTGTCAACGCTAAATAATGACATTGCTTTTAAGTATCGAACTGAGAAAGTGTCTCGGTAAGGAGAACGTGTGGTGAAATAGACAAATGAAATTATATAAACAGTTAATTTACTGTCATAACATATAAAAAGCTCGCGCCTGTGAGATATCAACAAAACATTATGAAAATAGCTCACACCAAAGCCTTCACCGAGTATTCACCCGACAACCTGCTTCCAAGCTGCGCGAACCTATTTACTTGCGCACGTGCTATGAGCGCAGCCCAGCTGTTGAAACCCGTTTTCCCCAGAAAAGTCTGGGGAAAATTAGTGAAACGTTTGAACTCCGATTTCGCGCGTGTTTTTTCATCGCGTTATTTTTCAACTTTATAACTTGAATTTGCATTTTTGACGATTTGTTTCGGTATGTCCACACCGAAAGGTATCAGAATCTGCAAAGTTGTGTTTTACGTTGCATGTGACCTTTAAAGCGTTGGCTCGTCACGCCGAAGACCCTGGTTCGATTCCCCACATTACATTTGGTCCTCAACAATGGATATGGTCCTTAACATTACATATGTCCTCAACAATGTATATGGTCCTTAAATTTACATATGGCCCTCAACAACGGATATGGTCTCTAACTATGGATATGGTCCTCAATGTTGGATATGGTGTTACATGTAAAGAATACCAATAACCATCAGTATCTACATCCCTATTGAACTCTTGTACCTTCATCTAGGGAAACAACAACAATATACTAGCCTACTTCTGGAAACTGTCAGAAGCTCTATGAATAGTTTCAGTCAAACAATCTACTTAATTAATGTTGATCTAATTCAGAATCATATCAACGGCTCTACAGTTCAGTTTTCTGTGAAACACCAGCTGAGCCTGCTGTGGGAGGACGAACAAGTCTGCCCATGAAGAGCACAACATCGGCTCGGTTGTCACGGATGAGGAACAGGAAGGGATGATCTGCCTTGAAAGGCTCAATTATAGGGAGCGAGTTGCACATGATCATAACTGCTGTGGCTGCAGCAGCTTCACTTCCCTCCTCGTTCACTTCCAGGAAGGCCTTGTGGACCACCTGGGAGACATACAGGAGCCGGGTTCCATCGATCCCGGACAGATCGGCTTTCTGCTCGTCAAAAGCATCAGACATTCCAAGCGACTTCAGGACTTCATTCAGCTTGAAGCTTGATTCCAATACAAATCTGGGCATAGAGATGTTAACAGTAGTTTTGTGAACACGCGTTTTAAGGCTTCCGTCAAAGATTCATGATTCAGTTTGCTTTCCAGTTCTCCCAAACCATCATCTTTGTCAGGCAACAAGAAGAACATGCTAAGGTCCTCCTTTACATAAGGCAGTTCCAACACAGAACAGTTCAGTTCATCATTTAGGCCAAACCTGAACTTCTTCTTCATCCGCATCATATCAACTTGTACTGTTTCTCCAGGCTTCACCTTAAATGTGCCCTTCTCTGTCCTTGTCGGATCAAATTTCTCTGCCCAGTTGCCTTTGAAGTATATGGCATTAACAAGGATCATAGCTGTCAGTGGATCGATTCCACCAGTGATCAGATCCTTTATCTTGCTGTTGGTCTCCGATTCCACCCATTGGTTGATCTTCTCAGCCTCTCCAGCTCCATTGCCCACAAAGTCAGATAGAACAGCCTGAGCACCATAATGCTTCTCTGTCTTCTGTAGAAATTCATCCAGAATCTTGGCCTTATCATTCACAAACAAGCGGTTGGCTGTTGTAAGTACGTAGTCTCCCTGTGTTTTCAGAAGACGCAGATAGTCTTCAAACCCTGGATGTACAGGAGTCCTGGATGTCAGTCCACTTCAGGACCTGGTTCATCTGAGCTGCTGTGTCCCCTCGAGCTCCCAGCTGGGTCATGGCCAGAGCTGCCGAGATGCTGAAGGGAGACAGAAACACATTGGAGTCCTTCAGGTCTAAGGCGACCTTCTTGTACAGGTCCAGACCAAACTGGGAATTGGCAGAAGCGACCTTCTTCACCAGGTCTGGGGTCTTCAGTCCAGTTCCACTTCCAGCCATGGTTCTGTAGAAGAAATCACACAAGACAAGTAATGTTCTGGTAACTTGAAAAGACAACAATTGTCTGATCAACCTATTCTTCAGTTCTTTTACAGATGAATGTCAGTTCATTTGAAGCAGAATTGGACAGCAAAGGATCAAGGCCTAACAAGCAAAGCTGAAGTCCATACTGTGACAGATCTTCTCAGTAAAGATGATTCTTCAGGATGTTTAGGAACTGGAAGGGGAAAATGGGGAGTATTTGAGCAAAATCATACAGAAAGAGATGATAGAGAGGTATGAACCAAATCTACGATTGATAATTCAGTTAAGACACTGCAGGTTTTCAAAGGCATGCTTACTAATAATTGGGCAGTTACATGTCATTTTTGTTTCCTTTTTTCCCATTTCTTGACATAGATAAGAACATGACTATACCTGGGCATGTTAGTGGTGCTGGGTATTGTTTGGTAGCACTCACAATCAGTTAAGATGGATCAAGAGTACGGAAAAGGAGAAGCAACAGTAGAAAATCCTTATCATTCTGTTTTTGTAGAAAACAAAATAAAATAGCTGAGCTATGAAAGTAGACTCAGCTAAAACCTTTTACACAAACATATATCCTCATGGTACTAAAATCTATTTTGCTTTTAGCTTCCCATTTGTGACATATCCATCCCCCAAATTCACTGTCAGAACCAAGGGGTGGGGGATTTCCCGGAAGTGCCCTTTTCAGATACTACTAATATTTATCTGATATACTGTCCTTGTACTTCCATTCTCTTTCTCAAAATTCTGCATCCACTTCTGATATTTAAGATATTAATCAACTACCTGCGTAATCTAACTGAATTCAGCGCCCACATCGCTCCAGCTCCAGGGGACAGTGGGGTAGCCTAGTGGGTAAAGCTTCCACTCATCATGCCGAGGGCCAGGGTTCGATTCCCCACATGGGTAATTTGTGTGAAGCCCATTTCTGGTGTCCCCCGCCATGATAATGCTGGAAACCAACTCACTTACTCATTCACTTACTCAAGGAATATCAGTGCAGTGAGTGAATGAGTGGATTTAAGTGAGTTTGAGTGAGTGAGTGTGATTGTGAGTGAGTTGGGTTTGTTATGCCATTTTTAACAATTTTCCGACAATATCACAGAGACATCAGACACGGGCTTCGCACGTTTTACCCATGAGAAGACTCAAACACTTTAAGCACAAGACTACCCAACTGACCTTGATGGCATTCCAGTACACTCTCTTGTTGTTCATCTACCGGTACTCACAAAATTCAGATAAATCACAGCAATAGCATAACTTACGTAAAACATCGAGTCAAATGTGGATTTCAGAAAATGAACATTGATTAATGTCAGCCGAGACTATTATCATGATTATCTCCAGACATCTTGCTCATGGAACATAATAGAATCTGGGATAGGCAAACCACTGACTGAAGCATGACCCAACAACACCGAACCCAGCAACACGGACACCCAATTCACTTCAGTCAACTTTAGGTCAAGCCGAGGTTACCTCCAAGTTTTTCTTCTCAAGCATCTTTGAAAATCCTAACAAACAGTTAAACCCGTGATAGAGTAAAACAAAATAATCATCACCTTTCAGTAAAGATGACTTTGTGAATATGCATTGAAAGATGCACTTTTTAATCTCGAATAAATTTATTTTCCATTGAACCATGCGTGAAGCAAATATACAGTTTTCTGTTGATATACATCTGTAGGGTTGTCATTATGTGGTAGCACATTGACCTGTGTAAAGTGCATACTTCACAGATCAGGTGAATCAAGTTGCATTAGAGAAGTTGTTGGATCAATGACCACATTCGGCAGTTTGACTCCTGACATTTTCTGGGTGTTCAGTCCCTCCCCACACTGAAGCACATGTAACACATGTGGTGGCTTCTAAGGCAAGTGGGTTTAATCAAAATAATCCTCTGTTCATTCTCACACAGGGGCGGTGGGATAGCCTAGTGGTTAAACCATTGGCTTGTCATGCCGAAGACCCTGGTTTGATTCCCCACATTACATTTGGTCCTCAACAACGGATATGGTGCTTAACATTACATATGTCCTCAACAATGGATATGGTCCTTAAATTTACATATGGCCCTCAACAGCGGATATGGTCTCTAACTATGGATATGGTCCTCAATGTCGGATATGGTGTTACACGTAAAGAATACCAATAACCATCAGTATCTACATCCCTACTGAACTCTTATACCTTCATCTAGGGAAACAATAACAATATACTAGCCTACTTCCGGAAACTGTCAGCAGCTCTTTGAATAGTTTCAGTCAAACAATCTACTTAATTAATGTTGATCTAATTCAGAATCATATCAACAGCTCTACAGTTCAGTTTTCTGTGAAACACCAGCTGAGCCTGCTGTGGGAGGACGAACAAGTCTGCCCATGAAGAGCACAACATCGGCTCGGTTGTCACGGATGAGGAACAGGAAGGGATGATCTGCCTTGAAAGGCTCAATTATAGGGAGCGATCTTGTCATGATCCTAACTGCTGTGGCTGCAGCAGCTTCACTTCCCTCCTCGTTCACTTCCAGGAAGGCCTTGTGGACCACCTTAGAGACATACAGGAGGCGACTTCCATCAATTCCGGACAGATCAGCTTTCTGCTCGTCAAAAGCATCAGACATTCCCAGCGACTTCAGGACTTCATTCATCTCAAAGCTTGATTCCAATACAAATCTGGGCATAGAGATGTCAACAGTAGTTTTGTGAACAACGCGTTTTAAGGCTTCCGTCAAAGATACATGATTCAGTTTGCTTTCCAGTTCTCCCAAACCATCATCCTTGTAAGGCAACAAGAAGAACATGCTAAGGTCCTCCTTTACATAAGGCAGTTCCAACACAGAACAGTTCAGTTCATCATTTAGGCCAAACCTGAACTTCTTCTCCATCCGCATCATATCAACTTGTACTGCCTCTCCAGGCTTCACCTTAAACATGCCCTTCTCTGTCCTTGTCGGATCAAATTTCTCTGCCCAGTTGCCTTTGAAGTATATGGCATTAACAAGGATCATAGCTGTGAGTGGATCGATTCCACCTGTGATCAGATCCTTTATCTTGCTGTTGGTCTCCGATTCCACCCATTGGTTGATCTTCTCCGCCTCTCCAGCTCCATTGCCCACAAAGTCAGACAGAACAGCCTGAGCACCATAATGCTTCTCTGTCTTCTGTAGAAATTCATCCAGAATCTTGGCCTTATCATTCACAAACAAGCGGTTGGCTGTTGTAAGTACGTAGTCTCCTGTGTTTTCAGAAGACGAGATAGTCTTCAAACCCTGGATGTACGGAGTCCTGGAGGTCAGTCCACTTCAGGACCTGGTTCATCTGAGCTGCTGTGTCCCCTCGAGCTCCCAGCTGGGTCATGGCCAGAGCTGCTGAGATGCTGAAGGGAGACAGAAACACATTGGAGTCCTTCAGTTCTAAGGCGACCTTCTTGTACAGGTCCAGACCAAACTGGGAATTGGCAGAAGCGACCTTCTTCACCAGGTCTGGGGTCTTCAGTCCAGTTCCACTTCCAGCCATGGTTCTGTAGAAGAAATCACACAAGACAAGTAATGTTCTGGTAACTTGAAAAGACAACAATTGTCTGATCAACATATTCTTCAGTTCTTTTTACAGATGAATGTGAGTGAGTTCATTTGAAGCTGAATTGGACAGCAAAGGATCAAGGCCTAACAAGCAAAGCTGAAGTCCATACTGTGACAGATCTTCTCAGTAAAGATGATTCTTCAGGATGTTTAGGAACTGGAAGGGGAAAATGGGGAGTATTTGAGAAAAGTCATACAGAAAGAGATGATAGAGAGGTATGAACCAAATCTACGATTGATAATTCAGTTAAGACACAGCAAGTTTTCGAAGGCATGCTTACTAATAATTGGGCAGTTACATGTCATTTTGTTTCCTGTTTTCCCATTTCTTGGACATAGATAAGAACATGACTATACCTGGACATGTTAGTGGTGCTGGGTATTGTTTAGTAGCACTCACAATCAGTTAAGATGGATCAAGAGTTTGGACAAGGAGAAGCAACAGTAGAAAATCCTTATCATTCTGTTTTTGTAGAAAACAAAATAAAATAGCTGAGCTATGAAAGTAGACTCAGCTAAAACCTTTTACACAAACATATATCCTTATGGTACTAAAATCTATTTTGCTTTTAGCTTCCCATTTGTTACATATCCATCCCCCAAATTCACTGTCAGAACCAAGGGATGGGGGATTTCCCGGAAGTGCCCTTTTCAGATACTACCAGTGATTTTGATAATATCTATCTGATATACTGTCCTTGTACTTCCATTCTCTTTCTCAAAATTCTGCATCCACTTCTGATATTTAAGATATTAATCAACTACTTGTGTAATCTTACTGAATTCAGTGCTCCAGATACGCTCCAGCGCTCCAGGGGACAGTGGGGTAGCCTAGTGGGTAAAGCTTCCACTCATCATGCCGAGGGCCAGGGTTCGATTCCCCACATGGGTAATTTGTGTGAAGCCCATTTCTGGTGTCCCCCGCCATGATATTGCTGGAAACCAACTCACTTACTCAAGGAATATCAGTGCAGTGAGTGAGTGAGTGAATTTAAGTGAGTTTGAGTGAGTGAGTGTGATTGTGAGTGAGTTGGGTTTTTTATTACACTTTTAATAATTTTCCGACAATATCACAGGGACATCAGACGCAGGCTTCGCACATTTTACCCATGAGAAGACTCAAACACTTTAACCACAAGACTACCCAACTGACCTTGATGACATTCCAGTACACTTTCTTGTTGTTCATCTATTCACAAAATTCAGATAAATTACATCAATAGCATAACTTACGAAAACCTCAAATGTGGATTTCAGAAAATGAACATTGATTAATGTCAGCCGAGATTATTATCATGATTATCTCCAGACATCTTGCTCATGGAACATAATAGAATCTGGGATAGGCAAACCACTGACTGAAGCATGACCCAACAACACCGAACCCAGCAACACGGACACCCAATTCTCTTCAGTCAACTTTAGGTCAAGCCGAGGTTACCTCCAAGTTTTTCTTCTCAAGCATCTTTGAAAATCCTAACAAACAGTTAAACCCGTGATAGAGTAAAACAAAATAATCATCACCTTTCAGTAAAGATGACATTGTGAATATGCATTGAAAGATGCACTTTTTAATCTCGAATAAATTTATTTTCCATTGAACCATACGTGAAGCAAATATACAGTTTTCTGTTGATATACATCTGTAGGGTTGTCATAATGTGGTAGCACATTGACCTGTGTAAAGTGCATACTTCACAGATCAGGTGAATCAAGTTGCATTAGAGGATTTATGGATCAATGACCACATTCGGCAGTTTGACTCCTGACATTTTCTGGGTGTTCAGTCCCTCCCCACACTGAAGCACATGTAACACATGTGGTGGCTTCTAAGGCAAGTGGGTTTAATCAAAATAATCCTCTGTTCATTCTCACACAGGGGCGGTGGGGTAGCCTAGTGGTTAAACCATTGGCTTGTCATGCCGAAGACCCTGGTTTGATTCCCCACATTACATTTGGTCCTCAACAACGGATATGGTGCTTAACATTACATATGTCCTCAACAATGGATATGGTCCTTAAATTTACATATGGCCCTCAACAACGGATATGGTCTCTAACTATGGATATGGTCCTCAATGTTGGATATGGTGTTACATGTAAAGAATACCAATAACCATCAGTATCTACATCCCTATTGAACTCTTGAACCTTCATCTATGGAAACAACAACAATATACTAGCCTACTTCTGGAAACTGTCAGAAGCTCTATGAATAGTTTCAGTCAAACAATCTACTTAATTAAAGTTGATCTAATTCACAATCATATCAACGGCTCTACAGTTCAGTTTTCTGTGAAACACCAGCTGAGCCTGCTGTGGGAGGACGAACAAGTCTGCCCATGAAGAGCACAACATCGGCTCGGTTGTCACGGATGAGGAACAGGAAGGGATGATCTGCCTTGAAAGGCTCAATTATAGGGAGCGAGTTGCTCATGAATATAACTGCTGTGGCCGCGGCAGCTTCACTTCCCTCCTCGTTGACTTCCAGGAAGGCCTTGTGGACCACCTTAGAGACATACAGGAGCCGGGTTCCATCAATCCCGGACAGATCGGCTTTCTGCTCATCAAAAGCATCAGACATTCCAAGTGACTTCAGGACTTCATTCATCTCAAAGCTTGATTCCAATACAAATCTGGGCATAGAGATGTTAACAGTAGTTTTGTGAACACGTTTTAAGGCTTCCATCAAAGATACATGATTCAGTTTGCTTTCCAGTTCACCCAAACCATCATCTTTGTCAGGCAACAAGAAGAACATGCTAAGGTCCTCCTTTACATAAGGCAGTTCCAACACAGAACAGTTCAGTTCATCATTTAGGCCAAACCTGAACTTCTTCTTCATCCGCATCATATCAACTTGTACTGTCTCTCCAGGCTTCACCTTAAATGTGCCCTTCTCTGTTCTTGTCGGATCAAATTTCTCTGCCCAGTTGCCTTTGAAGTATATGGCATTAACAAGGATCATAGCTGTGAGTGGATCGATTCCACCAGTGATCAGATCCTTTATCTTGCTGTTGGTCTCCGATTCCACCCATTGGTTGATCTTCTCAGCCTCTCCAGCTCCATTGCCCACAAAGTCAGACAGAACAGCCTGAGCACCATAATGCTTCTCTGTCTTCTGTAGAAATTCATCCAGAATCTTGGCCTTTTCATTCACAAACAAGCGGTTGGCTGTTGTAAGTACGTAGTCTTCCTGTGTTTTCAGAAGACGCAGATAGTATTCAAACCCTGGATGTACGGAGTCCTGGATGTCAGTCCACTTCAGGACCTGGTTCATCTGAGCTGCTGTGTCACCTCGAGCTCCCAGCTGGGTCATGGCCAGAGCTGCTGAGATGCTGAAGGGAGACAGAAACACATTGGAGTCCTTCAGGTCTAAGGCGACCTTCTTGTACAGGTCCAGACCAAACTGGGAATTGGCAGAAGCGACCTTCTTCACCAGGTCTGGGGTCTTCAGTCCAGTTCCACTTCCAGCCATGGTTCTGTAGAAGAAATCACACAAGACAAGTAATGTTCTGGTAACTTGAAAAGACAACAATTGTCTGATCAACATATTCTTCAGTTCTTTTACAGATGAATGTCAGTTCATTTGAAGCAGAATTGGACAGCAAAGGATCAAGGCCTAACAAGCAAAGCTGAAGTCCATACTGTGACAGATCTTCTCAGTAAAGATGATTCTTCAGGATGTTTAGGAACTGGAAGGGGAAAATGGGGAGTATTTGAGCAAAATCATACAGAAAGAGATGATAGAGAGGTATGAACCAAATCTACGATTGATAATTCAGTTAAGACACTGCAGGTTTTCAAAGGCTGGCTTACTAATAATTGGGCAGTTACATGTCATTTTTGTTTCCTTTTTTTCCCATTTCTTAGACATAGATAAGAACATGACTATACCTGGGCATGTTAGTGGTGCTGGGTATTGTTTGGTAGCACTCACAATCAGTTAAGATGGATCAAGAGTACGGAAAAGGAGAAGCAACAGTAGAAAATCTTTATCATTCTGTTTTTGTAGAAAACAAAATAAAATAGCTGAGCTATGAAAGTAGACTCAGCTAAAACCTTTTACACAAACATATATCCTCATGGTACTAAAATCTATTTTGCTTTTAGCTTCCCATTTGTGACATATCCATCCCCCAAATTCACTGTCAGAACCAAGGGGTGGGGGATTTCCCGGAAGTGCCCTTTTCAGATACTACTAATATCTATCTGATATACTGTCCTTGTACTTCCATTCTCTTTCTCAAAATTCTGCATCCACTTCTGATATTTAAGATATTAATCAACTACCTCATGTAATCTAACTGAATTCAGCGCCCAGATACGCCCAGCTCCAGGGGACTGTGGGGTAGCCTAGTGGGTAAAGCTTCCACTCATCATGCCGAGGGCCAGGGTTCGATTCCCCACATGGGTAATTTGTGTGAAGCCCATTTCTGGTGTCCCCCGCCATGATAATGCTGGAAACCAACTCACTTACTCATTCACTTACTCAAGGAATATCAGTGCAGTGAGTGAATGAGTGGATTTAAGTGAGTTTGAGTGAGTGAGTGTGATTGTGAGTGAGTTGGGTTTGTTATGCCATTTTTAACAATTTTCCGACAATATCACAGAGACATCAGACACGGGCTTCGCACGTTTTACCCATGAGAAGACTCAAACACTTTAAGCACAAGACTACCCAACTGACCTTGATGGCATTCCAGTACACTCTCTTGTTGTTCATCTACCGGTACTCACAAAATTCAGATAAATCACAGCAATAGCATAACTTACGTAAAACATTGAGTCAAATGTGGATTTCAGAAAATGAACATTGATTAATGTCAGCCGAGACTATTATCATGATTATCTCCAGACATCTTGCTCATGGAACATAATAGAATCTGGGATAGGCAAACCACTGACTGAAGCATGACCCAACAACACCGAACCAAGCAACACGGACACCCAATTCACTTCAGTCAACTTTAGGTCAAGCCGAGGTTACCTCCAAGTTTTTCTTCTCAAGCATCTTTGAAAATCCTAACAAACAGTTAAACCCGTGATAGAGTAAAACAAAATAATCATCACCTTTCAGTAAAGATGACTTTGTGAATATGCATTGAAAGATGCACTTTTTAATTTGAATAAATTTATTTTCCATTGAACCATAAGTGAAGCAAATATACAGTTTTCTGTTGATATACATCTGTAGGGTTGTCATTATGTGGTAGCACATTGACCTGTGTAAAGTGCATACTTCACAGATCAGGTGAATCAAGTTGCATTAGAGAAGTTGTTGGATCAATGACCACATTCGGCAGTTTGACTCCTGACATTTTCTGGGTGTTCAGTCCCTCCCCACACTGAAGCACATGTAACACATGTGGTGGCTTCTAAGGCAAGTGGGTTTAATCAAAATAATCCTCTGTTCATTCTCACACAGGGGCAGTGGGGTAGCCTAGTGGTTAAACCACTGGCTTGTCATGCCGAAGACCCTGGTTTGATTCCCCACATTACATTTGGTCCTCAACAACGGATATGGTGCTTAACATTACATATGTCCTCAACAATGGATATGGTCCTTAAATTTACATATGGCCCTCAACAACGGATATGGTCTCTAACTATGGATATGGTCCTCAATGTCGGATATGGTGTTACACGTAAAGAATACCAATAACCATCAGTATCTACATCCCTACTGAACTCTTGTACCTTCATCTGGGGAAACAATAACAATATACTAGCCTACTTCCGGAAACTGTCAGAAGCTCTTTGAATAGTTTCAGTCAAACAATCTACTTAATTAATGTTGATCTAATTCAGAATCATATCAACAGCTCTACAGTTCAGTTTTCTGTGAAACACCAGCTGAGCCTGCTGTGGGAGGACGAACAAGTCTGCCCATGAAGAGCACAACATCGGCTCGGTTGTCACGGATGAGGAACAGGAAGGGATGATCTGCCTTGAAAGGCTCAGTGATAGGGAGGGATAAAAACATGATCGTAACTGCTGTGGCTGCAGCAGCTTCACTTCCCTCCTCGTTCACTTCCAGGAAGGCCTTGTGGACCACCTGGGAGACGTACAGGAGCCGGGTTCCATCAATTCCGGACAGATCAGCTTTCTGCTTGTCAAAAGCATCAGACATTCCCAGCGACTTCAGGACTTCATTCATCTCAAAGCTTGATTCCAATACAAATCTGGGCATAGAGATGTCAACAGTAGTTTTGTGAACAACACGTTTTAAGGCTTCCGTCAAAGATACATGATTCAGTTTGCTTTCCAGTTCTCCCAAACCATCATCCTTGTAAGGCAACAAGAAGAACATGCTAAGGTCCTCCTTTACATAAGGCAGTTCCAACACAGAACAGTTCAGTTCATCATTTAGGCCAAACCTGAACTTCTTCTCCATCCGCATCATATCAACTTGTACCGTCTCTCCAGGCTTCACCTTAAACATGCCCTTCTCTGTCCTTGTCGGATCAAATTTCTCTGCCCAGTTGCCTTTGAAATATATGGCATTAACAAGGATCATAGCTGTGAGTGGATCGATTCCACCTGTGATCAGATCCTTTATCTTGCTGTTGGTCTCCGATTCCACCCATTGGTTGATCTTCTCCGCCTCTCCAGCTCCATTGCCCACAAAGTCAGACAGGACAGCCTGAGCACCATAATGCTTCTCTGTCTTCTGTAGAAATTCATCCAGAATCTTGGCCTTATCATTCACAAACAAGCGGTTGGCTGTTGTAAGTACGTAGTCTCCCTGTGTTTTCAGAAGACGCAGATAGTCTTCAAATCCTGGATGTACGGAGTCCTGGATGTCAGTCCACTTCAGGACCTGGTTCATCTGAGCTGCTGTGTCACCTCGAGCTCCCAGCTGGGTCATGGCCAGAGCTGCCGAGATGCTGAAGGGAGACAGAAACACATTGGAGTCCTTCAGTTCTAAGGCGACCTTCTTGTACAGGTCCAGACCAAACTGGGAATTGGCAGAAGCGACCTTCTTCACCAGGTCTGGGGTCTTCAGTCCACTTTCACTTCCAGCCATGGTTCTGTAGAAGAAATCACACAAGACTAATAACGTTCTGGTAACTTGAAAAGACAGCAAATTGTCTCATCAACATTCTCTTCAGTTCTTTTACAGATGGATGTCAGTGGGTTCATTTGAAGCAGAATTGGACAGCAAAGGATCAAGGCCTAACAAGCAAAGCTGAAGTCCGCACTGTGACAGATCTTCTCAGTAAAGATGATTCTTCAGGATGTTTAGGAACTGGAAGGGGAAAATGGGGAGTATTTGAGCCAAATGAATCAGAAAGACATGATAGCGAGGTATGAACCAAATCTATCATTTGATTATAGAGTTTAGACATCACTGATTTTCCAAGGCATACTTACTAGGAATTGGTCAGTTTCATTTTATTTCGAAACATTTTTCCATTTCTTGGACAGAAATTTGAACATGACTATACTCGGGCATGTTATTACCACTGGGAATTGTTTAGTAGTGCTCAGAATCAGTTAAGATAGATCAAGAGTATGGAAAAGAGTAACAGGAGAAAAGATAGACATTTTTATCATTCTGTTTTTAGTAAACAAAATATAATAGTTGAACTATGAAATTGAGTTAGTGAGTGAGTGAGTGAGTTGTTTTTTTAATGCTACTTTTAGCAATATTCCAGCAATATGATAGGGACACCTGACACGGCTTTGCACTTTTACCCATTAGAAGAACCAAACACTTTAACCCTCAGACTACCCAACTGACCACAATGACATTCGTGTACACATTCTTCTTGTTCATCTATTCACAAAATTCAGATGAATAGCATCAATGGCTCAACTTAGGAAAAGCATCTCAAGTAAAATCGGGATTTCTGAAAATGAACATTGATTAATCTCAGTCAAGAATACTATGTACAGACCTCTTGCTGGTTGCACAGAATAGACAAAGCACTGACTGAAGCATGACCCAACAAAACAAAACCCAGCAACATGGCCACACAGACCACTTTAGTCAGCCTTACTTCAAGCAGAGGTTACCTGCGACCTTGTCTTCCCATGCATCTTTGAGGACTCCAAATGTCATTAAAGTTTAAAATATTTACCTCATTTATTGGCCTGATCAAGTAACCTGCTCTCAAACCAGTTTAACCAGAAAATGTTGGTGTTTTGAATATCAATGTTTATTTTTAGCACATCAAACAGGTTTTGCTAGTTACTATTCAGAGTCATGGCTTGAAAGCAGCAGTACATTCTTGACAGTCTATTGTATCAGATCACTGACAAATAACATGAAGATACTTCAACACAGAGTACAGAAAACGTCTGTAACAGCAAATGCAATGTGTGGGTGGGCTCTAACCCCCTGCAATATGACATGACCTGCTTTAAATATTATTATTATACTGACATTTGTTTTCCCTCGATCATTGGATGTCCATCACAACGGCACATCATATTTTCAATCTCAACTCCCTGGGGATCATACAACTCTTGCTGCCTTCTAGGCGCACCAAGTTAATGTGGCTTTCCCATCCTTACGAGGCACAAAAGGCAGAACATGACCTTGAGCCATGTCGTCTTGGTAGCATGTGACTTGAGTAATGCATGTGTACTTTCTTCTGACAGCCTGTTAAACTGTGCACAACCATCTGAGCTGTTTAGCAAATTGGTCTTTAGCAAGCCATGCTTGACGTAGTGGCGACTAACGTTGCCGGGTGGTCAGGCTCACTGATTGTAGATCGATGCTCATGCTGTTGCTCACTGGTTTGTCTGGTCCAGACTTGATTATTTACAGACCGCAGCCATTTAGCTGGAATATTGCTGAGTGCCACCAACCAACCAACCAATCTTAGGCAAGTGGGTCTGATCAAAACAATCCTCTGTTCATATTGACATAAGGGGCGGTGGGGTAGCATAGTGGTTAAAGCGTTAGCTCGTCATGCTAAAGACCCCGGGTTCGATTCCCTACATGGGTACAATGTGTGAAGCCCATTGCTGGTGTCCCCTGCCGTGATATTGCTGGAATATTGCTAAAGGCAGCATAAAACCATGCTCACTCACTCATATTGACATAAACAGGTACCCGGTAGGATGAGATGTGATTTCTATCCCCTCACAGGCAGCTTGGTATCAAGATATGTATGGTATGACATCCCCAGCAATAAGCCAAATTCTGTGTCACAGTCGGGCAAGGTAAGGTTTGTGTAAACAGCATCTGAGGTTCAGGAACACAGAGGAATGGCAAGTGTGAACTGACCCTTTGACCTGGGTAATTTTAATGTGCAGCTTTAACCATGTTTCTCAATGCAAATGTAGTACAATATATAGGATCTTATTGTTAATTATGACATTGGTATTCATCGTCATTATCATAATTCCATAGGAACTAACAGACCCAGAAACGACTGTTTGAAGACAATTATCAGATTTCCAGACTGTCAATAAGCCACGGATCAGCGCCAATTTTAAACCATGCTTCCTCAATACGAGGAATTTCAAATGCTGCTTTCAATACAAGGATGAGAAGTTGATATGCATTCCCAGTTCTCCAAACCTTTTGACTTCCTATCAACACAAAATGCCCCTTAATACCATAAGGAATGATCACAGTTTAAATTAAAACAAAGTTAGTCAAAGATTGGTCATCTGCATTCATAATGACAGCCTATGATATTGAACAGAAGCCCTCCAATAGGTTTCAACTAATATTCAGTTGTATGAATAGTTTCAGTCAAACAATCTACTTCATTAAATCAATGGAGAGAGTCAAAATAACAGTAACATTGATCTGTAACAGAATCATATCAACAGCTCTACAGTTCAGATTTCTGTGAAACACCAGCTGAGCCTGCTGTCGGAGGACGAAAAAGTCTGCCCATGAAAAGCACAACATCGGCTCGGTTGTCACGGATGAGGAACAGGAAGGGATGATCTGCCTTGAAAGGCTCAATAATAGGCCGGGATCTTTTCTTGATCGTAACTGCTGTGGCCGCGGCAGCTTCACTTCCCTCCTCGTTCACTTCCAGGAAGGCCTTGTGGACCACCTGGGAGACGTACAGGAGCCGGGTTCCATCAATTCCGGACAGATCGGCTTTCTGCTTGTCAAAAGCATCAGACATTCCAAGTGACTTCAGGACTTCATTCAGCTCAAAACTTGATTCCAATACAAATCTGGGCATAGAGATGTCAACAGTAGTTTTGTGAACACGCGTTTTAAGGCTTCCGTCAAAGATTCATGATTCAGTTTGCTTTCCAGTTCTCCCAAACCATCATCCTTGTAAGGCAACAAGAAAAACATGCTAAGGTCCTCCTTTACATAAGGCAGTTCCAACACAGAACAGTTCAGTTCATCATTTAGGCCAAACTTGAACTTCTTCTTCATCCGCATCATATCAACTTGTACCGTCTCTCCAGGCTTCACCTTAAATGTGCCCTTCTCTGTCCTTGTCGGATCAAATTTCTCTGCCCAGTTGCCTTTGAAGTATATGGCATTAACAAGGATCATAGCTGTCAGTGGATCGATTCCACCGGTGATCAGATCCTTTATCTTGCTGTTGGTCTCCGATTCCACCCATTGGTTGATCTTCTCCGCCTCTCCAGCTCCATTGCCCACAAAGTCAGATAGAACAGCCTGAGCACCATAATGCTTTTTGTCTTCTGTAGAAATTCATCCAGAATCTTGGCCTTATCATTCACAAACAAGCGGTTGGCTGTTGTAAGTACGTAGTCTCCATGTGTTTTCAGAAGACGCAGATAGTCTTCAAACCCTGGATGTACAGAGTCCTGGAGGTCAGTCCACTTCAGGACCTGGTTCATCTGAGCTGCTGTGTCACCTCGAGCTCCCAGCTGGGTCATGGCCAGAGCTGCCGAGATGCTGAAGGGAGACAGAAACACATTGGAATCCTTCAGGTCTGAGGCGACTTTCTTGTACAGGTCCAGACCAAACTGGGAGTTGGCAGAAGCGACCTTCTTCACCAGGTCTGGGGTTTTCAATCCAGGTCCACTTCCAGCCATGGCTCTGTTGAAGAAATCACACAAGACAAGTAATGTTCTGGTAACTTGAAAAGACAACAATTGTCTGATCAACATTTCCTTCAGTTCTTTTACAGATGGATGTCAGTGGTTCATTTGAAGCAGAATTGGACAGAAAAGGAGTGAGTGAGTGAGTCTAGTTTTACGCCACTTTTAGCAATATTCCAGCAATATCACGGTGGGGGGCACCAGAAACTGGCTTCACACATTGTGCCGATGTGGGGAATCGAACTCAGGTCCTCGGTGTAACGAGCGAACGCCTTTACCACAAGGCTACCCCACTGCCCCGACAGCCAACATGGCCAAAGAACAAGGCCTAACAAACAAAGCTGAAGTCCGCACTGTGACAGATCTTCTCAGTAAAGATGATTCTTCTGGATGTTAGGGAACTGGAAGCGGAATATAGGGAGTATTTGAACCAAATGATACAGAAGGACATGATAGAGAGGTATGAACCAAATCTATTATTTGATTATAGAGTTTAGACATCACTGATTTTCCAAGGCATACTTACTAGGAATTGGTCAGTTTCATTTCATTTCGAAACATTTATCCATTTCTTGGACAGAAATTTGAACATGACTTTACTTGGGCATTTTAGTACCGCTGGGAACAGTTTAGTAGCACTCGGAATAAGTTAAGATAGATCAGACATGATAGCGAGATATGAACCAAATCTACGATTGAGAATTCAGTTCAGACATTGCTGATTTTCCCAGGCATGCTTAGTACGAATTTGGCAGTTTCATTTCACATCAAACATTTTTCCATTTCCTGTACAGAGATAAGAACATGACTACCTTGGCATGTTAGTAGCACTGGAAATCGGTTAAATTTGATCAAGAGTATGGAAAAGAGTTACAGGAGAAAAGATACAAAGTTTATTCATCCTGTTTTTGTAGAAAACAAAATATAATAGTTGAAATATGAAAGTAGATCTGCTAAACACTGAAACACAAACATATCTCCTCATGGCATTGAAATTTGTTTTGTTTTAGTGAGATGTGTGTGTGTTTATTCAGTAAGGGGGCCACCGGGCCTTTATACTCATACATGTCAGAAGGATTCAAGATATGACATGAAGCGCCATAAAAGTGACGGAATGAACATAGAGGTATAATTGTACAGAGATGTGAACACAAGATCAGCAGGATCCAAAATATTTCTTTCTTTTTTTCATAGCTAAAAATATATATTTAGCAAGGTTGTTTATAACAATATTATTTTGAGAAGTAAACAGTAGAGCTAGCTTGTTTTCAGAAGGATATACATGATAAAAACGTGGTATGAGAGATGCTCTCAGAATAGAATGGACATTCAAGGCAAAAATGGTATTCTGATTCGATCATAGGAATAACACACAAGGAACACAACCGTTCGTTGCGTGCAAGATTTAAACGTCTTCCATGTTCAATCATTAACATATGATTTGAACAGCAAAATCTACAAAGGGCAATACAATATACCTTCACATTAACAGCACTAATGTAATATTCTTCTGACACAGTCATTTTCATCCGTCTGAAAAAGTCTAGTTTAGTATATTTTTCAAGATCTGAAGCCCACATTTGAAGATCAAAATATCGATACACCTCTGCTTAAATTGCATGAGGAAATAGTTTACATTTGTAATTTGTTGATCAACCCAAACATTTCCAAAACCATAGCTGAAGAGAAGTTTCTTAACTCTCAAAGCCCAACAATCACGATTCTTTTCAGCTAAACAATACTGATATTTATATACTTTATACAAAATTATAATCTCATCTTGACTTATTAACCTGGTCCAGTATTTCACAATTTTATAGTAGATATTAACCTTCAAAGAATAGCGACCTATTTCACCATGTTCAATGATGTTTGGAGTAGTAATAGGTAGGTGCAGTATTTGCTTACAAAACTTGTCATGAATATTTTGTATATTTGGTGAGGGATGAAAACCCCAAACTTTGGAACCATACATCAAGATTGGAAGAATTTTAACATCAAATATATGTAATAAGACTTTCAGTGGTAAATTTGTAAAGTTTTTCATAGAGGACCTGACAATAGACAGTACTTTCCAGGATTGTTCTGCTAACATTTTTGGGGTTTGATACCAATTTCCAGAGCAAGAGAAATGGACGCTGAGATATTTATATGATGAGACTTTCTCTAAAGGGGTTCCATTTAAAAAGAATTTTTCATATTTCCTCAGTCTACCTGCTTTTCTAAAAACAATAATTTTAGTCTTATCAATGTTTATTTTAAGTTTCCATTTATTGCAATACGTGCTTAACTTATCAATTCTCTTCTGCAGCCCTAGAACTGTGCCATCAAATAGAACAATGTCATCGGCGAACAGCAGAATAAACAGTTCAAT